AAAGAATACAAGTAATTATGTCCCACAAAGTTCTGAACAATCCTCTAGCCCTGACACTTGAGACTGGGTACCCTACAGATATTACATGAACAATGAAGTTGCATTTTATTCCGATATATGATACTCTCCAAATTGATTCTCCTGTTGACTGCCAAAGTCAGATATGCTCTGTACTGTTTCCCATAAATCCATCTTTTTTTAATGAAAATTTCAATTTTTTTAAAAAATGGCAAACAATCACAGAACAACTCGCTGATGCATCAAAAAATAAAAAAAGGCAGCCAAATTGTCTGAAATGGCATGGAGGCATCAAGCAGATAGCTTGAACACTTGAACAGCACTCATATTGCCAGTTAGTATAGAAGCAATAGTAACAATGTGCTAAGACAACACATTCAGAGTAAGCTCCGTTCCAAGGGCATTTGATTAATCTTTTTGCACCAAGTGGAGCAGTTATAGAGCAAACAGAAACATTTCACTCTTCATATACGTTTCTGGCTGACTGCTATCAGATAAGCTCATTTCTGCTCTCAATGATTTTGCAATGTAAATTATGGAAATACATTTAGATATTTACATCCTTCAAGGCAATTTCGCAATGCAATATAAGAACAAAAGAAGCCTGTGTGATTTCTGGAAGACATTATTATTATATTTTTATCCTGCTCTTTTATAAACATATGACTAAAGGCGGTGAACCTACCTAATACTCCTTCCTTCTCCTATTTTTCCCACAAAAACCATCTTGTGAGGGCTGAGAGAGGGATTGACTAAACTCATACAGCCAGCTTTTGTGCCTACGGCTCAAGCCTCGTGGTTTCTTGGAAGAAAAAGATTTAGGAAGAAAGCCAATAGCAGAAAGGGCTATGGTGACTTTATAATTTTAGAATAAAAAGAAATTTGAAAAGTGAAAGGCAGTGGAAAAGGTCAAGATACAGCAAGGCCAGTAAAAAACAACAACGTCAAAGAAGAGACCTTGTACTATAGAATGATAAGAAAAGGTGAAAGAACCTTTCTCAACTTCAGGCTGATATTAGCAACAAGGGGATGCAGAAGTGGAAACAAGCAAAGACTGTGTGGGTCATTTAATTTATTTATTTTATTTATTTGTATCCCACCTTATTATTTTACAAATAACTCAAGGCAGCGAAAATATCCAACACACCTTTCCTCTATTTTCCTCACAACAACCACCTTGTGAAGTGAGATGGGCTGAGAGAGACAGTGCTTCCAAGGCTTAAATATGAAAAAAAAAGTTCCTTGGCAAAGGACACAAGAAGGAAAAATAACTCAAAGAATAACAGGGCAAAGGAATTCCAAAGTATAAAGTCGGGAAACCTGTTATACAGGATACAGTAATCATTGCATAATTGGTGTGAAATAGGCTGATGCAGTCCTCTGCTTTCTCAAGCTTATGGAGCTCTGTGAAATGAATTCCCACTCTAATGCACAGAAACCAGAGATGATAAAGCTTTACCTCGTTGTTTTGACACTTGGAGTTTTTGTCCATTGCAAAAGGCTCCTTTTCCTTTTCGACCAGTATACATCTTGTCTTCTACACAGCTATACACAATTCCAAATTCCATCTGTAATAAGAGAAATGTAACACCTATAAATCTTTATCAGTCCAACTTTACATTATAGGAAGAGGTTGCAATGAAAACATTTTTTCCTATTACAAGTTAAACTAAAATGAGAAATTTGATTACCTGTTTCTTTACTACAAAGCCAATTGAAACGGCTACAAAGGGAAACCTTGAAGATCAAAAAGAGAAATATATTGCATTTGTAACATGACAACTATAAATTAGAAAAGTAAAATTTGGATAAAATTATTCTAGACACCCCTAAAGAAAATACTGAAAAACATGTTCTAACATTTTCATATCACAACAGAACCAAAGATTGTCCTCTAATAGCCAAGAAACAAGGCATTTAAATATTATTTATCCAGAACATGTAGTAATAGCTTAAAAAATTACCTATGCACAAAATTAGTTGTTCCATCTATAGGGTCAATAATCCATGTGGGATTATCGGTCAAAATACTTCCTGCACCAGCTGCAACGGATTCTTCTCCAATAAAGCTAGAATGATCAATAATATAAAAAGACAGACAACAGATTGTAAATTCATATTTAATATACATGTATCATAAAGTAACACTACATCTTCAAAGGCTGTAACTGATCCAGTAAACTACTTTTAGATCATTTTATTTTTTTAAAAAAAATTAGTTCATTTTTGAATCATTACAAAGTTATTTGCTGAACAACTAACTGAGTAATTGGTCTATTTAGTTAAGACCTGTACTTAGAAGTATACAGTCTGGTGCAGCTTTTCTCAGTTTAATATCCTCCAGATGTGTTAAGATCACAATAGCCAATAATTCCTAGTCAATGTAATTGGGAAACAATATAGGCAGTCCTTGAGTTATGATAGCAATTGGGACCAAAATTTCCATTGCTAAATCAATGAACATCCCTGAAGAGGATGCCATTTTGGAGCAGTCACAACTCCTTGAGGTTGCTCAGAAAATGGGAGCCACTTCTGGCATGCAGTCGCATGGACCCAGGGATGCTGAGCCATGGAGTGACCTGCCCTCCTTCCCCAGTGTGAGGTATGGAGCTCTGGAGATCTTCAAAAGGTAAGTTACTTGCTGGGTAATGAGGGGTGGGAAGCAGGCCCAAGGCCCTATAGGAACTCACAGGGAGCAGAAGCAATCCAAAGCCTATGGGGACTTGATGGGATGGAAGATAGGTGGGGGCACTGCAGCATCCCTGAGATTGGTTATCAGGGTGAATTACCATGGGGGCAGTGCAGTGGTCATAATGTCAAAATGGTGTCTTAAGTAACTTTTTTGGGGGGGATGTTGTAACTCTGCTAAGCGACCAGTTATAAGCCAAAGACCACCTGTATATCCAGTTTCCTTATTCTTCCCTTGTAACACTTGATTTATAGCCACTCAGTTATTATTACTGCCACACTTTGCAAGATTTTCTCTGAATCTTTCTTAAATGGAATCTCCAGGTCCAGCATGGACTCAGACCAATATAGCACATAGTGGACTTATATCTTTCCCTGATTTGGAATCTATTTATTCAATTATTGCTTCTATTAACATGGCCCAAATTGCATTTATCTTTTGTGCAGCCACGTCACATTATTACCAAATTCAGTGAGTTAATTGATGATAACTCCAAGATCCTGCACAGGGGTACCTTTGCTGAGATCAGACTTGTATTTTAGAGACAATCTCTTTTGCAATTAATATCATAAAGCATGCTGTACCTGTGTGATGGATATTTTTCTTTTATAGAAGATATAATCATAGTTTCCACTTTTTGATCAGTGACTGTGACTAGATCTGCTGGAGAACTTTTAATCATGACAGTTATATCCTCTGTCAATGCCTCCCGGATTATCTGTACAGAAAATCTTCATATGATTATTTTGAAAACAGGACTTGATAAATAATATTCTTAATTATCAGTAAGACTTAATTTAAAACTTGTCTGTTGGGGTAAGGCGTAGAAGCAGCAAGAAAAATTATACTGCAAGACTCAGATTCAATTCTTATTTTACAAGATACAAAATTTGTAATGAATAAAAATGTAGAAAATGGAACCCTTTTCAGATTGTGTTCAAGTGCCATGCATAACTAATACATATGAGGGCACTATAGGAAGTACACAATTTTATAGATGAATTGGTTAATTGTTTTTATAAATTGACCATGATTTAGGGTTTCTAAATCTTATATTTATTTTCATATCTTAAAGTATATGTAATTTCTTGTTTGCTCTGTAAAACCCTCATTTCTTTGTATTGCTTAGTTAATAGACAGAAATTCAAGTCAGGCTCTTGAGTACATACAACTTCTCACAAAAGTTAATATTCTTAAGCAGAGATGGCAACTTAGGGCCTAGCTGGCACAAATGTCCCTCAATTCATTATTTTTGTAGTTCTTACAGCAGTACTGAAATATGTTAGTACAATTATTCATTATGGTGACAACCAATTTCTAAGCTACAAAGGCTAAATTTAAAATCAGTACTTGAACAGTTAAACCATTTTTGAGGATGACATTTTTAAATGTTTCTCTGATCCCAATAGAAAGTAAATTATTCATACCTGTCCAGCTTTTCTTGCTAAAGCTATTGCGTAGTTCATGCATTCTTCCCAAGGATCAGCCATCTTTATCTACCTAGAATGTCATATTTCAGTTACTTTTAACTTGTAAAATACCATACAGTACTGATGCTGAGAAAAAAAAATCTTTCCAGAATCTATGTCTTCAATCTGATTAACTTCATACTCTGGATTTCTCTTGTTCAGATTTTATATCCACATACGATAGATGATACACAAAAAAGATTAACATTGGTCTCCTAGTATCTTCCTTAGAATTTTTTTTTATTGAAAAGCTTAGGGATTTTGTTTGCTTTTAAGCATTGTTTTGTTCCAGAATTTTGGGATCAAACATATACATGTATTTGCTTGAAAGTAAATCCTGCTGAATATGAACTGTTTTTCTATTTATGCTTAAAGGTACAAGTCTGGAAGAATTATATAAATACTCTTTAACATCATGCATAAAAATATCTTTGTCCAGCCTTCCATTTTTTGATTATGATTCAACACAGGGGATACTTACCCAGAACAGATAGTTTAGGGGGATGCAATTACCGTAATTGTATTTTTTACAAACAGGATTTGAATCTAATTTTGGGACAGAAATCTGCCCAGAGTCGCTTGATAGTGAGATTGGCAGCATATAAATTTAATAAATAAATAATGGTGGATGATTTATGCCAAAAAATGAAAAAAAACCCATCCTGAAATCTAGGGAGAACTCAATGACTAAAATCAGTAAGCAGATTAACAACAAAGAGAAAATGCAATTTATTGTATAGCTTAATTATTGTAAAGCTATACAGAGCTATGCTTTGGACTGAAGAAAAGCAAATTTATCTATACACATGGAGGGCCAACTAGGAACATAGTGAAGGGATGAAGGAGTTGAGCCCATTGTTGAATTCTGTTACTTTCCAAAAATCAAACAAATCCCACTCAAATTCCCTTTCTCTGCTAGCGAATATTATTAGATTTTGATTAACTTGTGTTAGCTAATACAACAACTCAATTATATCCAGCTGTTTTCTTTGTTTTTCTTTCTGGCCAAGCAATGTGAATTCAGTATAGGATGGAAATAGCATGAACATTTTTTGAAATGGGGAATGTATAAATCATATTTTCAGCATCCTTTGAAACAGCACCTACTGAGAACACAATTCTGCCTCTGTTAAATCCAGAACACAATTCTGCTGCTGTTAGATCCAATCTGCTTATCTGAAGGCACCTTATTACTTTATCTTTGCAGGCTCTTCCTTATCCTTTGCCAGCAGGTGAACCTTGATAGCAGCCAAAGGGAAGCACTGGTCTAACCCCTTCCTAGCACTCAGTAGACTCCCTATATGCATCAGAATATGTGAAGCAGAGTCTTTCTGCTTCAGGCTTCTATTGCTCTATGGCAGGGGTGTCAAACTCAATTTCATTGAGGGCTGCATCAGCATTGCAGTTGCCCTCGGGGGGCCGGGTGGGTTGGCCAGGGTGGGTGCAGCCTACTGGGTGGGCATGGATGGAGTGAGTGAGGCCTACTGGGTGGACGTGGCCAGCTCTACATAATTCGTGTCAAGGGTGCCTGTGGGGGCCTGGGCAGGAGTGGGATAGATCTGAGGGTCTCTGGCAGAAAGGGGTGGGACCAGGGCAGAGCCCATCAAGCCAGATATGTGAAGTAGGCGAGGGCCATTTGCTGGCCACTTCCAGGCAATGGTGCATTTCTTCATTCCTCACAAAGGGTGACACCTCCCCAGCATGTACCCAGGGGGTGGGGCTGACGCAGCAGGGGCTGGTTCCTCGCTGTTTCCAGACGGCCTTGTGGAGCTAAGATTGAATGCATTTCAGCATAGATGGCCACCACAAAATTGTACATTGGCTCCCGGCCGGCCTGGGCCAGGGCCAAGGCAGCAGGGGCCGTTCCCTCACTGTTTCCAGGAAGGCTTCGTGGGCCACATCAAACCACTTTGCGGGCCGCATCTGGCCCCCGAGCCTTGTGTTTGACATGGCTGCTCTATGGAAATCATGCCTACTTCTTCCTTAATTATAACTAGAAAACACCAAATGGCAAAAGAGCATCTCTGACAAAATGGAGCTTTTTTTAATCTTAGCTTCACTGGAGCACTCTTTTTCCTATCTTCAAGCAGAGATGGTTCCCACTATGTCAGGAGGCATATTCTTCCTCCAGCCATGTTCACAGAGAGATGATTTCATGACCCCTTTCTGACTTTACCCTCTTCTAACTTTCCCACATCCTAGTGGCTCTGAGATATGCCAGCCTTGCCTCGTCCATCCTGCTCTTCCATGCAGAGGAAAGCCACCAGGAAATGAGGGGATGGCATGGTGCAACAAGATGGGGCTGGCAAGGCAGTCAATGGGCATAGGCAACAATATAAAACAGCTTGCTATTTCCTTTTTTCAGAATGACATTTTTTGCATTTCCCATTTTAGCATAAAGCCCTGAAATCTCCTGGTGGTCTCTCATCCAAATACTAACCATGTCTGACCATTTAGATCTTCACCTTCCCCTGAGCAATCTTCCACATTT